TCTCCTCTCCTCTCCTCTCCTCCTTCTTCATATCCAGCCTTGCTCACCGCACTCCTCCAATCCGTTAGCCCAGTTTCAGTCCCCTCCCCTCGTGTGTGTGGGGGGGAAATAAATCAATGGCATTTATAGAGCCTGGAGACAGGCGAAGCTTTTCTTTCTTTTTTAATCGACTTCCTTACTCCAGCTAAATAAACAACGACCACCCCCTCCCTGAGCCTGGAAAGAAACCCCCCTACAAATAATAAGGAGGCGGAATAATACGCGATGGAGGAGGGGAGGTGCCCATGCCCGATTAATTTGAGAGGGAGAAGAAGGAGGCCAAGTTATCCTGGGATTCACAGAATCTGGGAATTGACACGTTTAGGAACTCGACCCTGGGTATCGGTTCTGGAGCGTGGCGGATTCTGTGTGTTGCAAAAAGCGGAGGGAGGAGACACGCCGTCCGCATAATACCTTCCCTTCTTCTCCATCAGCTAACGTGTCTCTTCAGGGCGATAGGGGGCAGGGCCAGAATAGCTGAGGTTCCGAAGATGCCCCCACCCCACCCCACCCCGCTTCAACCCGCTGGCTTTCCTGAAACGAGGGGAGGGGGTAGGACACCCACGCACATATTGAGCTGAAATGTCGAACCAGCCGCACAGAGCGCCCCCCCGCCCCCGCCGTCTCGTTTTTGGTGGTTCCGGGAAGAACAGTCTCCTCGGAACTGCTCCCCATAGATCCAACTAGATCGGGACTTTCTCCGACAGTCCTGGATCTATGCAAATCTCTAGGAAGAGCGCCTCCCAGGCTCCACTTCGGTGCGCTCCGCTAAACCTACGAGTCTCTCCGCTTTCCCGCTGGTGTTCAATTCCCCTTCATCTGGCATTCTGCAGAGAAATTGTGAAATGCAACTATCTTTCCTTTTATTACAACGTTCTGAGCTAAACTCGGTGGACGTTGACTTCAGCATATTTTTTGTGAGAAGCATAAAGATACGCGGGGAGATAAGTGAAAGGCGTTGGTGAGTGAGTGTGTGGTGCAGAAATACCTCATAGGAAAGCTCACGTCCAGGAAGAAAAGGTCTCTGCTACTTACCGACCGACCGACCATGTTCATCTTTCCGCTTTAAGTCTCCGAGAGGTTGGAGTTTAGCACTTAGGGTTACATAGTTAGGAGAAACTCCCACGAACATCAATAATCTTCGCTTCCGAGTAAATGCCAGTGAGATCAAGGAAAGGATACCTATACGTTCGTGACACTGCGTGCCGTTTACAGCCTTGGAAAGCAGTGGGATTTCCAGCCAGGGACACGTGTTCCTCACCCCTGGAAATACTAGATGTGATCAAAAGATGCGTGTGTGTGCCTCCATACAGAAATCGCGATCGCGATCTATCCCCACCACCGATCCAGTTGCCCCGGATCATTTTGATTTGGATCCTAAAAGAAGCTTAAAATTAGTCCTGTTCTGCTCTGATCTTCTGCTTGAAATCAGCGGGGATCTCTCTCCCAAGAGACAGACTAAGTTTTGTAGTTTACTGTACAGATTTTCTGACGACCCTGTGCTGATGGGTTGGAATGAAAGCCAAAGAGCTCATAGAAGTATGCCAGTGCTCGGGCAATGGCTAGAGATTTAGAATATACCTGACTCTCTGAGATCGAATACATTAAAACACAAACCCAAGAGAAAGTCCTATCATCAGTTAATGGAGTATATGTAATTTTAACACACTTGCTGGGCGGGGGGGGGGGG